CAAAATATAACAATAATAATCACTAATAACAAAATACAATAAAATATAACAATATTTCCATTGTAACAATAACAAAGTATAATAATATTGAGAATTTTAATCTTTATGGTTTCTTAATAACTAAAATTAATAATCATCGTTAAAATTTATTTAAATCCATAATGACTACTATATTAGGAGCGGAATGAGGAAAAAATATGATCAATGACAATATAATTATCCGAACCAGTTTTTACTGGTTTCACCAGTTCACCCTTGGTTTGACCGATTTGCCACCGGTTTGATTTGTCGTTGCTTCAGTACTTAAACTAAATCGGATCACTGGCCGGTTCATTAGTTTTCCAGTTGAACCGGCCGGTTTGATCTGGTTTTTTGTTCATTGCTTAAAATATATCATGCTCTCCCACACCCTCCCAACATTGCTTTAATTTCTTTATTTATCTTACTATTTTTATAAAAATCAGTTAACTAATTTGAGTAAATTAGAGAAATTAGTTAATTATAATAAAGAGATATTGTCTTTCCTAAAATATTTTTATTGATTATGTGTATCAGTTAAAACTGTCATTTAAAGAAATCTTTAACATATGCAACTACTACAAAAACTACGTTAAAAAAATAGATAAATATAAAAGACAAAATAAATTGAAGTCCTATATTTGTGACCAAAAATAGATTAAAGTCCTATATTTATGATCAAATTAAAAGCCAAACTAATTTTTATATTAAACACTAGAAGTAGTGTTTCTCATGAGATGAAAGCCTGCTAAATCAGGAGCTAGGCTTAAGCATCTATCATCGAATTCATGGGATGTTAAGAGGATTGCGATTGCATTAATTGGCCCCAGGAAAGCAACCTGAGAATGCGCGTCATTACCAATTACCCACATGGGGCTTCATAATAACTATGTCTTACTTATAAGACCTTGTTACAATTAACGAGGTATTATATAAATATTAATATTAATGCTGGCCAAACATGCAAACCGCGAGTACTAGTCTTTTCATAATATGGAACCCACTTATTTTCACTAATTCCATAAATAAATCTGCTACATTTGTTAGACATGCAAGATAATGATAGTTAACCAGCGCATAGCCACATTTACGTGCCTTGCTTTGACCGGGGGAATTGACTGTTTTGTAAAACCACGAATGAGGGAGCATGGGATTGTAATTATACGTACATTACACATTAATATTTGGTAATGATAAATTTCTAGAATAATTTTAATATTATAAATATATGCTAAGGAATGTGCATGAACAGTTTTTTGAAAACAAAATGAATTGAATGGCACCGTTGTATTAATAGCGCAGAATTCAGATGCCATGAATACAGGGAAGGGGCGGTGTCCAGCTTGAAGCGGGACCATCTAAACAAGGACGGGTCCATCTCCACCATGAATGCGTCCCTTCACTAACTTTCTTTTTTTGAGCTTTAACCTAATCAGTCAACTTGCCCTCCCTTTTCTATACTCTCTCTCCCTAAGCCTTCTCTCTCCTTCTTTGGCTTCTTCTTCCCTGATAAAGGCTCGTCTCTTCAATTCTTTGCCATTTTCTTCTCTGTCTTCAACCCCTGATCTTTCTTCTCGCCTCCGGAACATGTGCTTTGCTTTTTGTAATATATAGGCAACAAGGGGAAGGCATTAAATCTCGTTTCCGGGATGGGTGTTTGTTTGAGCGCCCAAATTAAAGCAGAGAGCCCATGCAACACAGGTATTCCAAATATGCAGTTCAGTTTTGATGCATGTCCATGTATGTTGTTGGTTCGCTGTTTTCCGGCCTGTAACTTTTTCGAAAATTTATACTCATCTAAATCCGTAGTGTACGTCATTCAATCTGAGCCTTTTCTTTTCCTTCTGAGAACGGATTCTTTCTGCAAATTCTTCTCTTCTCTGCTACAGCTTTTTAAGCTTCCTCCCTAGAACCTTTTGCTTCTCTTCCATCTTTTGAATGCGTTATATCTGCAAATCCACCTCTGCTCTGCCGCTTCCCTCTCGACGAGGGATGAAATCCGGTGATTCTGCTAATTAGCCTGTCCCTAAATACTGAAGATTTTTTGTTGCTCAATCAGTGATTTTTATCCAGCGATAATCCTTTAAGGCTTTCGTCTCTGTTCTCCGCAAATGAACCAATGTGTTTCGTAACCTTATATGAGCTTCAAGATCCAAGTCAAAACCTAGTGATATATAATCTTTATTGGCAGGGTTAAATTCGAAATATGTGAGCGGTGACGGAAAGGGTGCTAGCAGCGCAGGCAGCAATATGTCAGCAGTGTCGGTTCCTCAGACTCCAAGGAGTGAGGGAGAGATCTTGCAGTTATCCAATTTAAAGAGTTTCACTTTAGCAGAGTTGAAGACGGCCACCAGAAATTTCCGACCAGATAGTGTGTTAGGAGAAGGTGGCTTTGGATCAGTGTACAAAGGGTGGATCGATGAGCACACTCTGATCCCTGCCAAACCCGGGACTGGCATGGTTATTGCTGTCAAGAGACTTAATCAAGATGGTTTACAAGGTCACAAGGAGTGGTTGGTGAGTTCCAATATTTGTCTGCTTTTGCTTTTTAGTAGAGGAAAAAAAAAACAGAAAGTGCAAGAACTAGCAATAATTATAATAATGGTTCCAAAAACTACGAAGCCTGTCACACCAGTAAACGAGTTCCTTTGTTTTTCTTGTTTGTATTGCAGGCGGAAGTGAATTACCTTGGACAGCTTTCTCATCCTCATCTCGTGAAATTAATTGGTTATTGCCTGGAAGATGAACATCGTCTTTTGGTCTATGAATTCATGCCTCGAGGCAGCCTGGAGAACCATTTGTTCAGAAGTAAGGTCTCGGCGTCCCATATTTTGCAATGCGTGAATTCAAAGAGTTGTGTTCTGACCTCAACGGTATATCTTGCGGCAATTTGTAACAGGAGGTTCATATTTCCAGCCTCTCTCCTGGAGCCTCCGGATGAAGGTTGCTCTTGGTGCTGCCAAAGGCCTCGCGTTTCTTCACAGCAGCAACATAAAAGTGATATACCGGGATTTCAAGACTTCGAATGTCCTACTAGATTCAGTATGTGGCCTTCTACTTCTTCTATTGCTATTCTCAGTTAACAGAATCAATGTTCATTCATTCATTTATTTGAAAGTTAAACCCCGGGTGAATTGATGACAGAAACATAATGCAAAACTCTCTGATTTCGGGCTGGCAAAAGATGGACCAACGGGCGACAGGAGTCACGTCTCCACCAGGGTCATGGGAACCTATGGATATGCAGCTCCTGAATATCTAGCCACAGGTAACAATATGCTTGGATCATGTCCTCCTCATGCATGTCATAATAACCAAAAGGTTCTTTTATAATTTAGGCCACCTCACAGCCAAGAGCGATGTGTATAGTTTTGGAGTTGTGCTGCTGGAAATGTTATCGGGGCGACGAGCTGTTGATAAGAACAGGCCATGTGGTCAGCACAATTTGGTGGAATGGGCTAAGCCATGTCTGGCAAACAAACGAAAGATCTTTCGCATTATGGACTGTCGTCTAGAAGGTCAGTATTCAATCGATGAGGCTCATAAGACAGCAATGCTGGCGCTGCGGTGCCTCTCCGGCGAGCCCAAAATAAGGCCTGACATGGATGAGGTTGTCAAAGCTCTGGAGCAGCTCCAAGTCTCCGCCGATGAAAATGGAACCCGTCACAACCCTCGGCCTCGTGGCCGCAGAAGAAGCGCCGATGACTTTAACGGTCGGAGGGCTTATCCCAGGCCCTCTGCTTCTCCCCTCTACGCTTGACAGCACAATCTTGTTCCTCAGCAAACTGTCATACATGTTTTGGTGACCGTCTATTTAGATTGTACATAATCTTATATTCAGCTGGTAGACATTCTGTTTGAGATCGGCATATGTATCCTGCATCCTATCATGTGTTTGTTAACAGTTAACCATTACAAAAATAGTTGGGAAAGCAGCCAGAATGTAACGCATTTGCTTTTGTATGATCAAGATTGTTTTTTTTTTCTTCGGCCTATAAATGATATTTTGGGAGTTTAATAATAATCTTCAAATCCTTATGAGAGGTTTACAGAGCGAAAGCAAAATTAATATTGTGGGGATTAAATCTGACAACCCAGCCGCAAAAGAGGTTCATCTCATGGGTGCTATAACAGTTAGTTGGTTTAGCACAGTCGTGTATTCTCAATTCTCGTTCCGGAACACGGCCCGTGTCCCCACCAGAACACAGAAGAAGAAGAAAGAACAAAATCCAAAGACACAGGCCATTGGATGGATGTGACTGAAGGTCAATGGTCCAACCTAAGATTGGATCATGATAGTACTAATGGTACAAAATTTCTCCACATGTGTGCTAGCATCTCACGCGGCACTCTTTGCCCCCAGAAAAGAGACACCCCACAAAAACGAAAAGAAGAAAGAAAAACTTGCCAATGAAAATTGAGAGAACTCTTGACCCGTGAGTCTTGACTGGGCACGACTCATCGTGATCAGATGCGGGTGCTAACTTGTTTGGTGCGCGTGGTTGTGTGATGGCAGAAATAAGTAGAAGAGAAACTGACCTCTGAGTATCAATAGAAAATCCATATTAATTTAGTTTTAAAAAAGTCACAATAATCATGGACCATGAATGATACAGCCTACTTTCAATTTTGTGCACATCACGGGATCCACGTCCAATTAAAATTTCAATGATATGATATTAAACCATCCCCTGTAAATGTCAAATCCATTTGGCATGAAGTTAGTAGAGTCAAATTACACAATTAAATACTTCTTTCAATTCTATTTTAAAAGTTCAGTTTAGCCCTAAATATAATATTATAATATCTCTTGTCTTCTATATTTATTCATTAGTCTTTACATGTTAAGAAGTTTTTGTTCTAATGCATATAATTAATAAAAATAATTTTTTTTAAAAATAACACTCATTTATTATAAATAATTAATTCAACTAATTTTTTTAATATTCATAAATTAGTTACCTTATATTAAACATTAAAAGTAGTACTCAATTTAGTGGAGCTGATATGCTCTCCAGATAAAAACATTGCCAGCATGGGTAGACATGTTCACATGTTGTCTCATTTATACAAAAAAGAGGGAACACAAGTGAAAATTTTAGAGAGGCCAAAAATTGAAACCTACGTGTCTGCCTAAAAATGTGTACTCGAGAAAGCCCGATTACCCATAAAAATGAGGCTTGCTTCATGATCTGTACATTAAACTACCAAGAATAAGAAATACAGAATTGGGCAAATGTGTTCATCGAAGCATCTCTGCGTGACATTGTTGATTTCTCATTGACCGGAATTGATGCGACCCCGTAACATTGCCAGGAGCGTAGATGATCGGCTATCATCAAGTTCGTACCAGACCAGGCGCCCAATTTTTCCAATCCAACCTTCTAATGGACTTGTTTCTTAAACTCATCATTTCTCTGAAGTCCACGACCTTCTTCAGATAATTATTCCCTTGTTTAGCCGCCCCAGATTCAGTGTCCTCTTCAGACAACTTCTCTTCTTTTTCTTCTTCACTTACAACAGCTTGAAGAGGGCATTCAAATTGAGAAACTGCGTCGTTAATTATGCCTCCAAGTATTTCGACCACTTCACTCATTTTAGGGCGGTACTTCGGGTGCTTCACAAGACACCTGTTTGCCAGGGCTGCAAGTTTTTGAACTGATTTAATGCAATATTGTCCCTCAAGTCGTGGGTCTACCAGAAGATGGAACTTTCTAGGGTCAGAGACAAAATGTCTCACCCATTCCAAAAGCTTCTGTTCATTTCTCGGTAGGTTTCTCTCAACAGCTCGCCTCCCAGTGATGAGTTCAAAAAGAACCACACCAAAGCTCCAAACATCACTCTTGGCAGTTAACTTACCAGTATGAACATACTCCGGTGCAGCATAACCGATAGTCCCCACAACCTTTGCAAAGAAGAAGGTCCGTTATTCATTCCACATATAGTCTAGCATTATTGTCATGCAGAAGAAAGAAAGGTTTAATCCATCGTTATGATTTCACACAACTAGAAAATTTCATCAATGAAAGGGGTGAAAAAGAGGTACTCTAATATGTTCCAATGAGCTGCCGGAAGGCAAATTATTCCACCATTTACATGCAATTTTGTCAGATTTTGAAAAGGCAATTTTAGAAGCACAATCTTAAGAATTTTCTCCAGAAGATAAACACTTTCTTACAGATGTTGAAACATGGCCAAATCCTTCTGAGGGTCCTTGCCTAGCAAGTCCGAAATCAGAAAGCTTTGCACTTAGGTCCTCATCCAGCAGGACATTGGATGTCTTAAAATCCCGAAAAATAAGCTGCACAAGTCAGAATGGGAATTTCATGTAAGAATGATTTACAAACGAAAGCTGATGCGGCAAGCTACATCCGGGTTAGAAGCCACCCAGAAAACTTGAAAAATACAATCAAGAAGTACAGGAGGACGGTGGTCTAGTCCACACAAACTTTCAAAAAGCAAAGACCACACAGCAAAGTTAAGGAGACAAGTATATAATTTTGATGATTCTGTCGATGGAAAGAAAATAGATCATGTGTCTTTCTGAGACATTTAATGACCGTACACTTATGCATATAAGCTTGAGCATGATATTTGAAGTTGCAATATGGCTACCAAACATGCGAAGTTCAGGAATGCTGTCAACAAAATATTTGGCTCAATAAGAATACTCTCCAAAGCATAAAAACAATCATTACCTGAAAATCCATTTCTTCATGCAGATATGCCAATCCACGGGCGGCATCTTGAGCGATTTTTAATCTAGCTATCCATGTAAGTGCTGATGGAACTCTACCCAAAAGATGATCTTCCAAGCTCTTATTCCGCATGAGCTCATAGACCAGAAGCCGCTGAATTCCCCTTTCATCATCTTCAGCGCAATATCCCACTAACTTCACAAGATTTGGATGCTTAATTACACCCAACAAGTTTACTTCATTGATCCATTCCCTGTGCCCCTGAAGACAAGAAATGCAAGTACATTCAGTATTCTATGAAGATATGGAACTATAAAAACTTAACCTTCTCCACCACAGGTGCATCTTGAGCTTTGTGTTGATAAAACAAATAAATCAGTACTATTTTTTCCAGAAGAAAAATAAATCAGCAATACGTGATTCTCTCTTCATGCGAAGTCAATTCAACCTCCACATAGCTCCGACTCTCTATGGAATTACCCTTCAGAAAATAAACTACAAGCAGCCATGACTGGCAGGTTTTGGCATAAAGAACTGGAAATGGAAATCCATGCAGAGAAAACCCAAATAAAATTACTGGAAAGAAAATTAGATGCGCAGGCTCTGTAGAAGAGAAAGAAAGACGGGGCATGCCTGGGGTCCATTACGGTTCAATTGCTTGATCGCAACATCCATATTGGAAAGACAACCGTCATTTGCATGCTCGTTGGGTACCTTGACAACTCCTTTGTAGACACAACCAAACCCCCCCTCTCCAATCAAGAGGGCTCTGCTGAACCCACGAGTTGCCAATTTGAGCTCAGAGAAGGAAAACACGCGCAGATCATTAGCACGCCTCTGAGACAAGAATTTATGGAACTCAACTGCATCGGAGAAGTCCTTTAATTCAGAATCAAATTCAGACCTCCTCGAGCCCAAGGTAGAAGAAGCAACGCTGAGCGAGCGAGCCCAGGAGAGCTTGGAAACCTTAGAGGTAACCGAGTCATCGTCTTCACGGGGTTCTCCTCCCGCGTTTGAGAAATGGAAGCACTTCATTGCGAAGGGAAGAGAATGGGTCAAGGAATTGAGGGAGGGAGGGAGGAAACCATGGCTAGTATGAGAGAATAAAGAGAGAAGGACGACGGCGAAAAAGAGTGATTATGGATTTGAAAACAAGGCGGCCATTGACGTTACAGAGGAAAGCACAAGCTCCCCTTTTTCCTTTGTTGTGCATTTGAAAAATTATTTGAAGCAGTCGTTGTAACTGTATAAACAAGTCGCTCCAAGAGTTTGAAAAGATGCATATTCCAAGAATGGGTCAAGATGGCGCTCTGAGACGGTCTGGACTTTCTTTATGTACATCAGGCGGCCCCTCGGCCACAATAAATTTTCGTATTTCCCTGAATTTTTTTTCAGTCACAGTATAATCTGATAAATTCATTCCCGTCCGAATGATTGGTATTAGATATTAATATAAGTTCTTGGTAAACAAAAAAAAAAGATATTAATATAAGTTATATAGCGCATTATTATTTCTCAAGGAAAAATATCTACTGCATTATAAATCTTATCAGAAACCGAAAAAGTATTCCTCAAGTCTGCTCCATATCAGTTGCTTGCTGCCCATTATTTTCGGACAGCAATCTGTGGGTCATACCCTGGCAGCTTCAGCCTGCAAAGTCCTTGAGGAATTTAATATTTGACCTCGTGATATCTAATCATTTTATCTTTGCGAACAGACCTGATAAGACCGTAAGAATTTTGGGGAAAAAAAAACTTAAAACTTGAAAGGCGTAGTTTTCGATTTGTACGAAAAGAAATTAAGAAAAGAGAATTGTTAATTACATACTTGGACAAAAATTATATTAGGGCGGGTAACCTTTTCTAGAAAATCCGATCAAGTGTGATCATACTGGCATTCGATACTATCAAAACTCGGCAGTCAAGGGTTTTTTTTTTTTTACTTCGACCAAAAAAAAAAGGAGTGTCAGTTGCGTCTTTGGATATATTATTTATATTTAAAAATATAGTATTTACCCCATAGTAATTTTTATGTTGTTTATTGCGTCGATGGCCAAAAAACTATTGTTTATTACATTTTTAAAGAAAATCATAGAAATGAACACCGAACTAACTATTTTATATGTCCTAGTCTGATTGTTTTATGCGACTTAAGTTTCCACCATCCGAGAAAATTGCGCAAGCTATGCCAGTGTTTATGAAATGAATTTTGAATGCAGCTATAATAATAATAATAATAATAATAATATACCACTGAATACTAGATACTGAGAGCCGGTTAATGAATTATCAAAAAAGTTGAGATGTTGAGGTGGAGCATCCATTATACTGGATCGTGATTGGGCTCCTTGCTCCCAGGGAAACACGCTTTCGTTGAAAGCTATAACCAAGCAACATAATGCGACCATGCATCGTGCCGCACTCTGATCTCGTTAATTATTGTTTCCGAAGCAAACCTCTCAGTATGATAACCAGAGTCATTAGTTGGTCTGGAGCAGGCAGTAGCGGTGATTATCGTAATTTATAGATAAAAACAATAACACGCACGATGTTAATGGATGAACACTTGGCGTCAGAAAATACAACAATGAACAGGTCGGTATTTAAAGGACTGTTAGAGGTTTGGTAGGCGTGTGAGAAGACGGGTATGGTATGGTATGGTATGATTGACCCGGTAGTATACTTGATGATGCGTCCATTCTAAGAATAAACCAGTGAGGTCTAATAAGTGTGTGCTTCTTTCCTCATCAAGCATTCATTTATAGACATATAAAGTAAAACGTTAGGTGGAATTAAATTAAAACAGAATAAAAGGTTTCATGATTGTTTTGAATTTGAAAAAAAAAAAAATAAGAGTAAAATAAGAGAAAATGATTTTAAAAAAAAGTTGAAAATTACTAAATCTCAAATGAATTTGTAAACAACAGCAAACTTTTCTTAACATTTGGTAATTTTCACTTTTTTTTGTTGTTATTTTTTAACAAAAATGATGGATGGGGATGGAATTGGATTAGGTTTAGGAGGTGATAGCTAGTGAATGAGGCGGTTACACCAAATCTGCGTCGTCAGCTCAGATGGCAACGTCCCATTTGTCTTTACAAGCGGATTGCTTACAGTTATATTGTCACGTAGCTTAAACCCCTTATTTGCTTTATTTTAATTATTATTAATAATAATATCGCCCTTTAACAATTCAGACTATTCCCATGACACTGTACCCAGCGTGTGGCAAACATTGGCGTCAAGTTGCAAGGGACAGGACATGTGTGGGCCCCCCTGACACGTAAGCCGCCAAATCCCCCTCACATTTTCCTTTCCTATCCCCTTTTACGCCGCTTCCGCTATCCCCACCCATGCTCTTCTTCCCCTTCCTTCCTCTAGTTCCTTCCTCCTCCTCTTCACTCTGAAGCCATCGCATTACTTGAGCAACTGTACTATAATATTTATTTGAACCCCGATTCAAGCAGCCCAATCAAATAGCTGGGTATTTGAAGAATGCCCTTTGATTATCCTACAATTAATGTTTACGCATATGTGCTAAATCTTTTTTTATTTATGTTATTTTTCTTCCACTTTGATGATAACATCAACAACCGTATTGATGCGCAAACACAACATCGTTATTAACTCCACGTAATCCATTTTTTTTTAAAAAATAGTAATTTATATTGAACACACAAAAAAAATCAGATCGATTATTCCCTTAAAAAAAAAAAAAAAAAACCCAAGCACACATTAAGCTGATAGAATACCCAAAATGATAGGGGGAATTAATGGAGGTGGAAACCGTATTGGGGAAAACCTGGAGGCGTCCACCCAAACCTGATGGACAAAATTGGGGCGAAAGAAGTTGATGTGGACATCAAATGGTGTCTGAAATGCGCGGGCACGCACGCACTCACGTAATAACCAACACTAGAATTTCTACACCACATTCGACAAGCCCGGATGATCCACACAATAACTAACGCACCAGATGATCATCACCAGTGGTGACTAACAATTCATTATTAATGCCGCATGCAGGTCACCACGCGTGGGCCTGTGCTCTGGGCCATCTGAAGTTATTGTTACAAAACATCCCTCAACATCATAAAATATTCCCACATGCACCAGCCGGCTGAAGACGAGGGATCAAAATCAAATCCAAGTCATATGAAATAAGTAAAAGATTTATGCTTTATGTCGCGTCAGATTATCACTTGCACACACCCGTGGAACACCGTGCCAGCTCATCCATATCCTCTCCAGATTCTCACGTGGCCCTATAAGCTGTCTCAGCTCAGCAATAGCCCGGTAGCCCTAACCTAACATCCTCTCTCAGTCTCCCCATCTCTTACGACACCTTATTGCTGAGAGAAGAACGCCTTGAAGCAGAGGATGGTGATGTGTACGATACAGCAGGCAATGGCGCGCGCACTGTATGGGCCACTAGCTGTGTCCAATCAGTGACCCTCATTCATTTCGCTTCTCGGCTCGCTCCTCCCTCCCTACTCCGCCGTTGCCAATCTCTTTCACTTCCCAAAACCTTCCAGCACGAAAGCCAACCACTTCTCTGCATAATCAGTGACTTCACGAAAACAAAACTCCTTCTCTGTGTAGTTCAGGGACCAGGGGACCACCCATTATCGTGGTTCTGCCCGGTTGACGATTTCATTTTCATCATTTCGTCTCTTCTTCCCTGCCGTCTCATGAACCCTAGCCACTAGCTGCTAGCCATCTCTTTGGTACAGACTTTCTAGACCCTAAATGATGGGGTGCGATGCAAAGTTATAAAGGATGGTACAAAAGACACTGACGTGGCAGCTGAGGGAGGTGGATTTCTGTTGCCTCTCAGCTTTTAACAACTAATTGTCAGCTACGCCATCACCAAAGCAAAGCATACGCACGCCAAAACATGGAAACGCCATAAAATCGAGCTTCGAGCTACGTCGTAATTCCGCTAACCCGCTCAACTTTTCACCTATTTACAACTGCGCCACTGCACCGGGTTCATGCCAGGACTCAACAGTCTAACTAGCTAGTTGCTATTGAACCGTGCAGCGAAACTAGATGGTTCAT